ACGTTAGTCTGCCTCTCCCAGCCGCAGCAGCAGCAAGCGCAGTGTGTGTTACCGACATGAGCAGCAGCACCGTGACCATCTGCAGCAGCAGCAGCAGCAGGCCCAGGTATGTTACGAGCAGGAGCAGCGGCATCGTGACCAGCTGCAGCAGCAGGAGCAAATGCAGCTGGCGCAGTACCAGCACGAGAGACACCAGTTGGCGCAGTACCAACAGCGGCAACACCAGCAGGTGGTGCATTGTCAAAAAGAACGCCAGCAACTGGTGCAGTTTGAGCAGGACCACCAGCGGCTGATACAGTACCAGCTCGAGCGAAGCCAGATAGCGCAGTATCACCACGAGCGCCAGCAGCAGCTGCACTACGAGCAGCAGCGTCGCCTGCAGCTGGAGCTGCAGCGCGAGCGCGAGCGGCAGCAGCGGCTGCAGCTGGAGCGGAGCCAGCAGCTGTACCGGCTCGAGCCGGCGGTTGAGCCGCGTTACGGCGGCGCGCGCGAACGACTCGAGGCGCTGACCTGCGGCTGGCAGCCGGTGGCCGGCCTGTCGCGCACGCCGCTCTACGCACCGGCCTTCGTGACCGTCGCAGACGAGCGGCTGGCAGCGCCGCTGCCGGCGCCCGCCTCTGCCGCCGCGGTCGCCTCCGTCTGGCCGGCCGACGGCGTGCTCATCACCGAGCTGCCGCCTGATGGCGACGTCGCCGGCGCGGACGTGGCGCCCGCCGGCGAGGCCGGGACGCCGCCGCCGCTCGACTCGCACGCGCTCTGCAGCGAGGGATCGCCGCCAGCTGCGAGCTCTGGGCCAGAGGACCCCGACGCTAGCTCTGAGCCGGAGGACGCCGCCGCCGGACCGGCGGCCGCCTGGGAGTTGGGCGCGGCGCCGGTGCGCTTCAGCGTCGGCTCCGACGGCGAGACGACGCGGCCGTCGTCCCCCGAGGACGAGGCGGGCCGCCTTCCTCTTCCAGCTGCGCGTCGACGACGACGAGCTCGCGCCGGCGGGCGAGCCGGGCGAGGCGGGCGTGGGCGCGGGTGAGCGCGACGGCGCAAACAGTAAGTACCGGCAGCCGGCGCGGCTGATGCTGACTTTGCCTGCGGGCTGGAGGGGGAGGGGATGCCGCGAAGGCGGGCCGGGCCTTGGCGGACGGCGGAATAACGGGCAGGCTCGCGGCCGGTTCCGACTACACGGACCGTGAAGCCGAACTTTACGGACCGTGCGGCGCGCCGTTTGGGTCGTCAGCGCGGTCGTGGCGTCGCCGGCCGCCGGCCGCGCAGACATCTGGCCGGCGCGGCGGCCATTGCCGGAGGGCAGCCGGCCGGTAACGCGTCACTGGCAGGGCGCCGTTGCACGCGGGGCGGTTGCCGGGGTGCCGGCCGCAGCCACGGCGGCGGCGGCCGGCCAGCCAGTGCGGTGGCCTGCGGCGAGCGGGCGCGGAGGCGGCGCCCGGCGCCGCACCATGGGTGGCCAGCGCAGCGGAGCGCGAGACCGAGACCGAGACCGAGGTGGACGGCGAGCAGGCCGAGGGGCGCGCCACGCCCGGCGTCGCCAGCGACTCCCGCTCCTCCGCCGGATCAGAGGCCGAGCTCGAGCTGCCGGTCGGCGACAGTGCAAGTAGGCGGCGCCGGCCCTCGGCCGCCCGGCGCCGTGTCGGCCCTTTGTGTTGACGAGCGCGGCGGCTGACGGCGCCAACGGACGGCTTTGTGCTTTCAAAACGGTTGAGAGAGCGGCTCTGTTTAGCTTTGTTCGCAGGGTGCAATGGATGGCGGTTGATGCAGTCGAATTGCATGCATTCTAGTGATAATTGAACTTCTGACAGGGACAGATGTAGCTCATGTGTATTCGTGATTGTCCTGTTAATGCCTGCTTATTTTCTATTGGTGGCAAGCTGACTTTGGTGGTGTCTCTGCTGCACTTAAGGAGGGTCATCGGACAGTTCCGCTTGACCCGTGCTACGTTTAGGAAGATCGCCGTCAGTGCTGAAAAATATCGACGTTTTGATCAAGAACATTCCAGTTCAGCTTGTCCAACCATCCCCTGTATCCTGTCGGAGGCGGTCCACCTGGGCCATACGGAGAGGATCCGCTGACGAGGCGGGGGTTTTGGACCCTGCTCGGCCCCAGCCGGGATGTGAACACGCCCATCAGAGGTCTCGGGTCCGGCGCAGTACTCGTGCTACGTCACCACTCCGGTCGTCGCGCGCGCGCGTGCCATGCCCGTGCCCGTGCCCGTGCCGGGCCCCTGGCGTCGGCAACACGAGCAGGGCGCAGGTGCTTACAGTGCAGGCGCCGCTGCTGTGAAGTACTCGCCAGCGCGTTCCATACCGCTGAGGCCCGTCAGCTATTGATTTTACGCGGCGCTCGGTGGTCATGTCGCGTGCGGGGTGCTTGAAACGGCTGCTCATGGTGCTGACCTTAGGCTGGTGGTGGGGCCACCGTCGATGCCGGGCATGGACAAGCTACCATTGGCTGAATCTGGCCCATGAAATCACGGGCTGCTCTCGTCGATTATGAGCTATTTGTAGATTTGGTTTCATAATGACCGGGCATTTTTTGTATGATTGTTACCGATGAAATTTTCTTAGCTGCAGTTATGTCGTGTAAAGGCATTTGTATAGGTTTTAGAGTTGTTCGAATTTTGCCTATGATACGTTTTTCAGAGTTGTCGTTGGAATTGTTTTTTTAAATTGAAAAGATTAAATGGTTTAGTTTTAGTTATGTGCCAATTTTTTAATGATGTCCTTACAGCCGGAATATTCACCTGTCTAGGTCGCAAACGTCCGCCCCTTTTCCTCTGATTGCTGCGCTGTGCGTAATAAAGCATCAAGTGCGCCAGAGTCGGTCCTGGCCACCGCCGCCTGTGCCAGGGGTCGGTCCTGAGCCACCGCCGCCTGTGTCCAGGGTCGGTCCTGGGCCCACCGCCGCCTGTGCCAGGGTCGGTCCTGAGGCCACCGCCGCCTGTGCCAGGGGTCGGTCCTGAGCCACCGCCGCCTGTGCAGGGGTCGGTCCTGAGCCACCGCTGCCGGTGCCAGGGGTCGGTCCTGGGACCACCGCTGCCTGTGCCAGGGTCGGTCCTGAGCCACCGCCGCCTGTGCCAGGGTCGGTCCTGAGCCCGCGCCTGTGCCAGGGGTCGGTCCTGGCCACCGCTGCCTGTGCCAGGGGTCGGTCTTGGGCTACCGCTGCCTGTGCCAGGGGTCTGTCCTGGGCCACCGCTGCCTGTGCCAGGGGCCAGTCCTGAGCCACCGCCGTCTGTGCCAGGGTCGGTCCTGGGCCACCGCCGCCTGTGCCAGGGGTCGGTCCTGGGCCACCGCTGCCTGTGCCAGGGGCGTCCTGAGCCACCGCCGTCTGTGCCAGGGTCGGTCCTGGCCCAACCGCCGTCCTGGCCAGGGTCGGTCCTGAGCCACCGCCGCCTGTGCCAGGGTCGGTCCTGGGCCACCGCCGCCTGCGCCAGGGGTCGGGCCTGAGCCACCGCTGCCTGTGCCAGGGTCGGTCCTGAGCCACCGCCGCCTGCGCCAGGGGTCGGGCCTGAGCCACCGCTGCCTGTGCCAGGGGTCAGTCCTGAGCCACCGCCGCCTGTGCCAGGGTCGGTCCTGGGCCACCGCTGCCTGTGCCAGGGTCGGTTCTGGGCCACCGCCTTCCCCCACTGATGAGTCCCGAGATGCGCTCACATTTTGGGCTGGAACCAGCACTGTTGCAAGGTCTTGTGTGGCTCTGGCGAGACGACAGCACATGGAAGTGCACGGGTGAGATCCAACGCAGGATGGCTGAAATGACAGAATAACTAAACAAGCCGGTTTCCAAACATTTAGTGCCAAAACGATGATGGCATGGGCTTTCAGGAAAGATCCGCATGCTTGTTTCAGCAGCGTGTAGAGCTGTTTGTGTGTTATGCCTAAATTTAGCCGAATTAGAAAAATAGCCGTCTGTTTAAATTAACGTTCAACACGTTACCCATTGATTTGCCGGTGTTTTACTGTTAGGACCAGCCCAGACGCAATTCGGGACTCTTTGTTAAACGAGTCGGTTATTCATGTGCTTACCCAGGGTCTTGATTGTACCAGCCAGACACAATTTACTACTGGCGCTGTTCATCAGCTTAATTAAGCAAACTTTGGCTGTGGTCCCACGTTGCTGACGTGCACGCCGTAAGCTGTAAAGCCTGCCATGCGCTAAAGCGTGGGGGCGACGCTGAAAAGCACGACAGCCGGTTCTGTCAAGTCAACACACGAACCGTACAGACGGCTCGGCCTGACTGGGAATGACCACGTCCGCCGCGTGTGGCGGCGCATTCGTCGCGGCGCTCCTCGTAAATGTCCGCCGACCTGGCGCGCGTCCTCGCCGGCCATGCACGCGCGCTCTGTTCCCACCGCGCAACGCGCGCCCCTCTGTCCTGCCCTCCTCTACCCCCAGCATGGCCGTGGCGCGACTGAACGACTCAGTCCGGGGGTGTGAATGGCGCGCCACTTACAGAGGCGCGCGGCTTACTCCATTAGCTGCCGAGCTGAAAGCTGTGCAGGTTTGAGGCTGCATTCGGCGAGCGGCCGGGACGCCCCGGGGCTAATCGCTGGAAAACTGCCGTCGGCGGCGTAGGTGCCGGCGCGACGGAGGGGAGGACGGGGGGGGGGGGGGGGGGCTCGTGGCGCGAACTGCGCGGGTCGGCGCTGGTGTCCGTGAGCGGGCCGACGGCGATGACGGTCAGGTCGGCGGGAGGATGGCAGCGGTGTCGGCGCGGTGGAGAAGCAGAGTTGTGATTGATCCTCCTGGGTGGAGTGACCACGCGGCGAAGGCTGTCTGTGACCCGCTGCCCGCATGGACAGTTGTGATGGATCTAAGCTTGGGAGGTTTATCAGCGGATCCTCAAATATGTGGTTTCTCATCGTTGTGTGTGCTGGCTCGCATTTTGATTCCATTTACTGACGTTCACTGGGCCAGAAATGTGTGTGTGGACCCGCTACCCCCCCCCCCCCCCCCCTGTGGACGGGCGCTGTGGCTGACGTGGCGCCCCCTGGCGGCAGATGCGCTCCAGCGCCGCAAGAAGCAGCGCACCGGGCCGGCCCAGCCCAAGAACGCCGTGTCGGCACTCAACGAGCTCAAGCCCGGCCTGCAGTACAAAGTGATCCAGCAGGAGGGGCCCACACACGCGCCAACCTTCACTGTTCAGATCGAGGTGAGTTCACCACTCCCGGGTGCGCCTGCCCTGGCGGGTGCGTAAGGCGCCATGGCTGTGCGTGTTCCCAGCCGCTTCCTTCGTCTTGGTCCCGTCCGAAGCGGCGGACCCGGTCTCGACCGTGGCTGTTGTGTTCGTGACCGGTGTGCCGACGGCTCCAGGCGGCTGTCGATTTCCCACGGCCGGGGCCTGCCTGACGCGGCCGGGTTGTGGTGGCGCGGTTCAGTGCCGTGGTCTCGGGCCGCCCGGCCGCCGTCAGTCGCCGTCGATTGGTCGATGGCCGGCCGCTTCGCGCGCCGCGCCGCAGCGCGCGATTCGCGCGGCCGTGCGGCCGTGAGGCACGCCGTCTGTCGCCGTCAATTGGTCGATGGCTGGCCGCTTCGCGCGCCGTGCCGCAGTGCGGGGCGCGCGTCCGTGCGGTCGTGAGACGCGTCGCCGGCCCGACTGACCGGACGGTGCTCAGGCGGAGAACGGTTGATCGCTTAATGTCTCGACGGGCGACGCACGGGCCGGGGACACGGCCACGCGCCCGTGTGGTCTGCGGTAGAAAACGGACCGGAGTCTCTGCGTGTCAGTCCGCCGGTCTCTGCGTGTCAGTCCGGGCCGGCTGGAGTCGGGTTCCTGGTGTCAGTCGTGGGACTGGTTGGCAGGACGCCAGGGGCCGGATGATCAAGGCGAGGTGCGGACCCCCTTGTGGCAGTCGTGCTGTCGTGGGATAGGGGCGGTTCTCGGGGTTGACGCCGACGCCCGGCTGGATGCCGGCTGGCCGGATAGGTGGAGGCGATCACCGAGAGTCCGCGCTGCCTCGCTGATGTGGCACGAGCAGCACGTCTGATGGGCGTCTCCGTTCTGGCCTGCGTCCGGTGGCGCTTTTCTCCGGATGACCTCGGCACCACCACCGAACGCGGCCGGGCCGCACCCGTGTGGTACGGCCCGGCCGCGTTCATCACGTTCATCATATGGTATCAACACGAGGTGCTTCCCCTACCCCCGGACTGTGTAGCACTCCGGGGTGTAGTCCACGCCCGTTCCCTTGGCTGGCCGGCCGGCTGCGGGTTTGCCCCTTCCCTGCCATGTTCGTGGGCGTTGCGTAACCGCGGCCTTCTCGTGTCGCCTCGGTTTGGCCACCGGCGTTCCTCGCCTGGCGTCGCGCCTCGAGGCGGCGCAGTCTTGTGTCGTCGCCGCGGACGTGCCGTCTGGCCGCGGTGACGTCGCCGACGTCTTAAGGCCTGCAATCCATGCAGCATTGACGGGGTGGGATGCGGCTCCCGCCGACGGCCCGCCCCGCTGTGGGCCGCGGCCGTTATGTGGGCCGCGGCCCACAGCAACCCCGGCATCTGCCCGTCCGTCGGGCCTCCGTTTGTCCGATTGGCTTCGGCCTCTGCATGGCAGCCCGGCTTCGGCCTCTGCACGTCCTCCCAGCCGCGGCCTCTGCGCGTCCGCCCGGCCACGGCCTCTGCGTGTTCGCCCAATCCACACGGCCCAGCCGGCAGTCAAGAGGGTCGCCGGCGCCGCCAGCCGCCAGCCGCCAGCCGTCAGCCGCCAGCCTCTAGCCGCAGCCGCCTCCAGCCGCCAACGCGGAGGAGAGGATTGGCAGGCTCCGCCGGCGGCACGGCAAATCAGATTAGTGCAGGGAAAACTTGGCTGGAATGGGCCCTCCAGGCTGCCTGCCAGACTTTCACCTTGCTCCCATCGGGACGATCTACATCCCATGTAAGAGAAGTGTTACTCATCCCGGAAACAAGCGTGACTCTTATCGCGCATCGTTGTAGTTGGATTCCGCTTGTGTTTAAATTGTCGTGTCAGATAAATTATTCCGCGCCGTCGGTCAGATTGTGGAATAAGATGTTTGTAGCTGCGTGTTGGCTACCAACTGTCGCGTCACGTGCGTTGTCGGGCGCCGATTGGTCAGATCTTTTGTTCGTCGTCTTCAATTGGTCAGTTATTTTGTTTGTGATCCGCAATTGGTCAGGTCTTCCGTTCGTGATCTCCGATTGGTCGGGTCTTTTGTTCGTGGTCGACGTGTACCATGTAGCCTCTGTCCTCATGATCCCTCCGACAGAAGTGGGCTTCCGAAGCGGTGACGTCATTCCCGCCGCCTCTGCTCCCGCCAGATCGCATTTCATCCGCATCCCCGCCGATCTGGCTCCCATGGCGTCTCCTCCCATCGGTCCGCCCCCCGCCCTCTCGTCGACTGGACGTCTCCCGGCCGCGGCCGCCGCCACTCGCCCGTTACCAGCCTCGCCGACGACCTCGCACGGCCGTGAACGGAGCTGACTGTACCCACCGACGTCCGCCGGCCCGGCCCGGTCAGCGAGCCGTCCCGACCTGACCGGTGGCAGGGCGGGGCGGGACGCGCCACTCGCGTGATGGGTCGGCTCGTTAAGTTTGAGAAGTGTCCGTGCAGGTTGTTGCCTCGCGTGCCGTGCGTAATCAATTGGGCTACGGACTGCTCTGGCCGGCTCCGGTGGCGGCCTCGAAACAGCTCACACTCGCTCTCGCGCCATTCGTGTCGTTGCCACGCTCCGTCCCCGCTCCAGCTGCGGTCTTCTCTTCAGTCCGCTCTAGTGAAATGTCGGTAAGCTGGTATGACGCCAGCTTACCTTCGATGGCTCTCTCTTTACCGCCCTCGTTCTTGTTCTCGGCTGGTCCTCCTCCCTCTATCGTCCTCATTCTTGTTCTCGTACTCCTCATGTTCATACTTCCTTGCCACCTCTCCCGCTGGCCCCCTCGCCCCACGCGCTCGCTCCGTCGGCCGGCGCACGGTTCCCTTTCTCTCGGTTCCCCCCGGCTATCGGTGCTTTCTCGTAGCCCATCGGTGGCCGGCCGGTGGGTGTGGCCCCGGCACATCCGGGCACACAAATACGGTAATGGATGCGCCGAAGCGGCGCGGCGCCGAGATAGGGCTGCGGGGGCGCGAGCGGTGTCGCTCGCGGCCGCCGGCGCGCCCGCCGCCTGCCGCGCCGCCTGCCGTAGAGGCATGTGCGAGCTGGGAGGCCTTCCGCCCAGGATGTCGCCCAAGGCTAGGCGAGGTCGGGGTTGCGGGGCCCATGGTGTGTGGTTGCGTGCCTCGGGTCGTGCGTATTTGTGGCAGCATGTTTGCCATGCCTGTGTCTGCTTCTGTTCGTTTTTCGTGTAACCTGGTCATTTGGGGGCTGTGTATCTATCAGTTTTTGGAAGTTATGGGCATGTACCGTACACAATGTACTCAAGCTATATTCGTTCAGCAGCGCATGAGCGATGGAACCCGTAACTATGCCTCTCAACCCTCTTTATTGTTCGGCATAATGTTTCAACTCCTGCTGGCTCGTCTAAAGAAAATAACCAAAAACGGTCGCAGTCGGATTCGAACATTTGCCCCCCCCCCCCCCCCACCCGCATCCAGATGCTGCTGACCGCGCCGCCCCCACCCCTCCCGCATCTATACGCTGCCGACCGCGCCGCCCCCACCCCACCCGCATTCCAGATGCTGCTGACCGCGCCGTGCCACCTCGCGGTGTGATGTCCGAGGATGAATGTCCGATGGTATGGACTTGGTGGTGGTGGTGTCCAAGAATGGTGTCCGACACAGCTCGAGCGATGGCGCTCCAACGCACCGCCGCTGGCCGGCAGGTGAACGGCGAGGAGTACGTGGGCACTGGCCGCTCCAAGAAACAGGCCAAACAGACGGCGGCCGAGGCGGCGCTGCGCTCCTTCATCCAGTTCAAGAACATGACGGACTTCCAGCTGGCCATCAACCCGGCGCCGGTGACGTCCGACTTTACGGCCGACGTCGGCGTGTCCGGCCACGACTTCGTCTTCAACAAGACGGCCGGCGACGCCGACGCCGCCGCAGAGGTATGGCAGAGCGCGGGGCGCGGGCGCGGGGTGGCCGGGAGGTCATGTCGTCCCCGGCGGTCGCGAGGTGCGTGGGACCGCGTCACCGCCGGAGGGGGCGGGATTGCTGGTGGCTGGCGTGTCTGGGGGGGGGGGGGGGGGCGAGATGCAGGCACACGTGGTGTCGGTCTGTGTGCAGCGTGTGCAGCTATCGGATATCTATGCAGCCATCGGCGCCGTGTGGAGAATGGATCAATCCAATTTACGTGCGCATTTCGATGGAAATCGCTCCGCTCTTGGGAGGAGCTGGGAGGAGAACCGTGTCGAGCCTACGCCTGGGTATGGGGAGGCTTTGTGCGGCGTGGTGTCAGCACCCTGGGCGCGGCTGGCTCGCGAGCGGCTCGGCCCGTCCGGGAGCCCCCCCCCCCCCCCCCCGTGCCGGCAGCAGCCGTAAACAGACCGGATTCGGCCTCAGCACCGGCCCACCGCGGCTGCGACCAGACGGAACGCGGCTGTTTGCTCTGGAGTGCGCGCCGCCCTCCCCCTCCCCCCGGCCGTCGTCGTCGCCCCCCCCCCCCCAGCGGCCTTTGTCGTCGCCCCCCCCCTCCCCCGCTGTGTTGATGCGTGGCGGGTCGAAGGCTCCGTCCGGCGCCGGTCGAAGAACGCCCAGTTCTGTGTGGGGATGGTGTTGTTGACCGTTGGGTCGGTGCACCGTGAAATTGGGGTTTTGCGCCGGCTGGAGCACAGGCCGAACACCGGCCGAGCACCGGCCGAGCAAGAAGGCTGGCTGTGCCGCTCCCTGATGGATACCTCGACGGATTGTGTTTTGGAATGCAGGTGGCTGCAGGTGTAACTAGCATACTGAATGACTGCTGGAGTACAAGGGTGAGCCTAAGATCAGCATTTCCGCTTTGCTGTTAGAATTTTGAACTTCTGTTTGCTGTTTCCATAGCAAATTACAATAGTGTGAAATTTAAAGACGAGAACATCATTGAGCTGCTGGAATATTGTTTCGCTTGTGAACAAAGCAATTAGCGTCTGTATAATGAATCAGGCCCCCTTCATCTCGAGCAGATCAGTCGTCCCACATATTGCATACCTAATTGCCATGGCAAGCAGTCGACGATGAATGTTTTCTATAGTCCTGCACCTGTAGCTATAAGCGTGCTGCCTTAAACCCAAGCGAAAATTGCACATTTGAATTAAGCATGCCAACACTCATAATCTTTGCATCTGCTGACGCACGAAGTCTGGGAACATGAGGCGACAGTTTAGTCGATGAACAAATCCGCAAAGCTGGCCTGCGTGGTCTGGTCACGCTCCAAGTGGCTGGGAGCTGGAGCTGGAGCTGGGCTGGGCCCGAGTGGCTGGAGCTGGGCCTGCACGAATTAGCCAGCTAATTGGATGAGGGAATTAACGAATGAAGCGGGGCGTCTTGCGCGGCTCGCCGCCGGCGAGTGACGGGCTCACCCCACTGGTCGGCCGGGCACCGCCGCAGCCGGCGCTGCCCGTGGGTGGCGGCGGGGCCGCGGCAAGGGACCGTGCCCCCCCCCCCCCCCGCTGATGCGACAGCCGTGATGGCTATTGGGCTCTGGAGGCCTGTTGACAGGCGCGGGGCGTGGTGGTCGCGCGCGATTATTGCTCTCTGTACACAGGGTGCGCGCTGATGAATGATGGTGGGTGGTGGAAGCGGAAGGGAGGGGGCTGGTCGGTGGCGGGTGCGTGGATAACGGCCGGGAAAACGTATGAGATCCTCTGGCGAAATTTGGAAGCATTCTTGTGGTCTCAAAAGCCGTTCAGGAAAATGCATGCGTGCTGTATACTTTGGTTGGTTTGCCCAAAAAGAATATACACATTTATATGTAATATGGTTTACTGATATGAATATACACATCTACATAGAACGTATATATATATATATATATATATATATATATATATATATATATATGTGTATATGTATATATGTATATATATATATATATGTGTGTGTATATGTATATATATATATATATATATATATATATATATATATATATATATATATATATATATATATATATATATATATATATATATGGTGCCGGTATCGTAGTGGTTAACACGTCTGCGTTCACTACTGCGCGTCAGGGAAACCAGAGGTACGGGGTTTGATTCCCCGCGATGCCCGCCCTTCCTGCCAGGGTGAGAGGCAGGCGACGCCATATAGCCTCAGCAGCTGAGTGCGTCGTAAGACCCCAGTGTGGTCTGGTCTCAGTGGTCAGTGGTCTTAGTGGTCTCAAATATTGTCCCGTGTTTCGACCCGGCAGCGGCTCCATGTCCATCTGTCCCAGTGGTGCTGCCGCAGTTGGTGCGCCCTGTGACCCCAGCACCACCCATTGGTGGCCTGCGACACCGCCGCACCACCACCGCCCGCTCGGTCTCTGACGCCACCCCTCGCGTCGCCGGCAGCCGGCGGCCAACGGCAACGGCGTGGCGGCGCCACGGCCGCGCCTGACGCTCACGCCGGCCGACAAGAACCCCGTCCAGCTGCTGAACGAGCTGCGGCCCGGCCTCAAGTACGAGCTGGAGGAGGAAAGCGGCGAGCCGCACGCCAAGAAGTTCAGCATGAGCGTGCACGTGGACGGCGAGAAGTTTGACGGCGTCGGTGAGTGGCGAGGCGAGCCGGCGGCCGGTCGCGTGTGGCGCGGCGTCGTTGTGTCTGTGTGCGCGCGCGCTCGTGCGTGCGTGCGACGTGGTGGGGAGTGTTTTCCGGCCTGGCTGACGCGCGGCGGCGAAGTTTTCCGCGATGGACGGCTGGCGTCCGGGTGTGACGCTTACTCTGAGGTGCCTCATCCCCGGCCGGTGGCGGCCGCGGCGTCGCCCGGCTCCAACTTGGGTTAGGGACGCGGCGCCGCTATTTGGCGCCGAGAGGAGTTTGCCCAAGTTCGCGGCGACTCCGAGGAAAGTTTGCTGGGACGCGCGATTAGGAGGATGCGCTCTCTGCACTCGCTGAGGATCCAGACTGCTGTGCCTCAAGATGGCGTTTTGAGAGAGGAAATCGAGCGCGTCGTTTGTTTACACCGCCGCGGCCTCGTTTTCTCACGAGCTCTCCTCGCGTTGTCGCCAGTAGATCCGGCAACGCCTGCTGTGTACGCTCGGCTCGTCTGTGTACGAACGTGCTGGCACCGCGCCGGTTCGAGCCAGGCTGGGCTGGGCTGGAAACGCGGCTGCTGTCTTTCAGTTTGAACGGCGTAATAAATCGTGCCATACGGCCGCCATTGGCGTGACACTAAACGCCGCGGTCCTGTCATCGCGTCCTGAAAGGGCGCGGGGCCCAGGCCGTTCATCTCCGGTGCGATAGCCCGAGGCCTCGGAAGTCGTCGGCCCGCTCGGCGTCGCTGCGAGGTCGTAGTTTTCCCCTGTGGCTGTCGCCCCCTCCCGGCTCTCGTGATTAGCTATGGGCCTCGTGCGGTGAGGCATGACGTGCCGGCAGAGGCTGGGGGCGAGCCCGACGCACGGTACACCCGGCTTCTGAGCAGCTTATCCCTGCGTGATCGGCACGGTGGCAGCGTGAAGAGGTCGCCTGCTGCGCCGCTGGCTCGGCGACCGCATGCCTGACCGGAGCTGGCCGCCCCTGGATACAGACGTCCGATGCCTCCTGCACCCTGGATACGGAGCTGCCCGCGCCGTGTCGGTGGTGTAGTGGTCAGCGCGTCTGCGTTAACCACTGCGCGTTTAGGAAACCAGAGATACGGGTTCGATTCTTCGTGGTGCGCGCCATGCCAGGGTGAGAGGCAGGCGACGCCACATCGTCTCAGCAGCTGAGTGCGTCGTAAAGGCCCGGCGACAGGGCCGGCCGGTCTCTCCTCCCCCTTGATACAATACCGTCCGCCGCTTTCCCCAGATACAGTGCCGTCCATAGCTGTTGGTGCGATCCTCGCCACACCGTTCTTCTGGAATGTGCGCCGACCGCGGCTGCCTTCCCACTTGCGCTAGGCTGCCGCGCGGAAATTATTCGGACTCTGCTGATAACCGGCTGGTGCCGGCGTCACCAGCTGTCCATCTGGACGCCCTGTCCAGCATCGAGCGACGGCCTCGCTGGTCGGCAGTGTGAGTCACTGCCCGGTCGGTGGGTCGTGCCATGCTCGGATAGGCCCGGGCCGTCAGCGTGTGCCTTGTCGGTCACGACCCTCGCCTCCCCTCCAATGTCGGACTCACGGCGGACCGCAGCGGCGGATCCGAAAGACCGCAGCTCCGACGGCGGACCGCAGCGCTATCGCGGCCGTTGGCGGAATGGGACGGCGGGCGGAGGCGCTGCGGCCGTATAATGTATGCCGGTCTGCATGTGTCATTCCGGCCCGGCATGAATCAGGACGAAATGGGGACACAGCCTGACACCGAGACGCCGCACCGCCGCTCTGCCGGACTCGGTGGCGGAGGATGCGCGGGCACGGCGCGTACGTCAGCCACCGTCCCGCGGCGGGCGGCTGTAAGCGCCCGCGCGGCCCGTTGCGACTGTCAGGCCGGGCGTTGTGTCGGGCCAGTCAAGGATTGTCCCGCGTGGGAAGCTGTCCCGGGCCACAGTCGACGGAGGGAGTCTCTGCGGCCTGGTCTCCGTGTGAAGACGATGCCGTCGCCGTCCGCCGCCGCGGTCCGAACCCCGTGCTTGACGCTCCGGCGCTGCCGCCAGTCGGCGCTCGTCGATCGAAGAACGACGCGGCGTTGGAGATGAGAGGTCGTTCGGGGCGGAGAAGTTCAGCTGTCGTTTGGCACGAAGGAGATGGGGTGAAAGAGATATAGGAAAGCCGTGATGGAAGAGGACAAGACGGACGAGGTAGGCTGAGGGATCGGCCCACATGAGAACGAGAGATGGAAAAATACGTGGACGGACAGACACTTTTCGGAGATAGGATAGGCTGGCCCTGGCACAGCAAAACACGCTACGATGTGGCACTAGAGTCAGCCGGCGGAAGGCCGCGATAAGCCACCAGGAAAGAGAGACGGGCTGGCGACCCTCCTCTGCCCCACCGCGGCGCGGGATGACAGCGATCTGGCTCCGGTACCGCGGGCCGCACAGGGCCAGTAAACGTCAACCGGCCGTGGGCAGTCCCCGCGCGTCTCGAGGGACACTTCCGATGGACACCAGCTGATGCCTGGACCCGCGCACCGCCCCCCGCTCCCCGGGGAGCGCCGTGCCCGCCGCCGACAAGGCACTCATGATGAAGCCGGTGTGCCGTCGGCGTGATGTGATTCCGGCCGCGGCGGACCGGCCGGCCGGCGGTGTGCTAAGTAGCCGTGATGAGCGCCGCCGGCGGCCTCGATCGCGACCATCGATCACGGGCACCCTCGCCGCCGGGCGTCGGCCCACGGCTGTGCCGCCGGCTCGCTGGGCCGGGCCCGGCCGGCCCGGCCCGGGACGCGGCATGACGGATGGCCTGCCACCGACGGGCGCACGCAGCCGGCCGCCAGTCGAAAACAGCTCTGTACGCATTAGCGTCGGGACGGCCGGCTAATGCGGCCTGAACGACGCGTGGGCGGGTTTTGTCGATGTGTGTTAGAACGCGGTGGGATTCCCTCTGGGGTTCCGGTGGCCGCCGCGCGCGGCCAGGCAGGAGAGCCGCCACACCCGCCAACTCGTGCCCGGAACCCCGCCAGGCCCCAGCAAACGACTCGGCAAAGCGGCCGCCGCCAAAGCGGCGCTCAGCAAGCTGTACAACTACTCGTTCATCAACTACGCGTCAGTGGGCGGCTCGGACTCGCCGTACGGCTCCACGTCCGACCTCAGCGAACAGCTGAGCTTCCCGCAGACGGTGGCCGACCACATATCCAAGTGAGTTCCGGTCGCCATCGGAACCTCCTGGGGAGGAGTCCGGGCCAGGTGGTCTGGGGCGTTTGAGAGGGCACGAATGACTTGGTCAAGCCGTCCGCGTCCTTTACTGGTGTGGGACTCGGAAAATGGATCGTCTGGTTCGCTGTTGCGTCTGGTTTTGTTTGACAGCTTGTCCGCACCGTTGTTGCGTATACTGGATACTGTGCCGCCTGTCGTGTGAAGCCCGCCATGTGCTGTGCATTACGGAATATGCGAACGTCCAGGACGTTGCATGCTATGCTTATATACGCGACGGCAATGTGTCGTTATTTAAGATGTCGTGTGTACCACTAGTTTGTTTGGTCCTCTAGTGTGTCCAGTGTGAATGCCACCGCCCAGGTGCTTGAGATTGTCCAGACTGTCGCGTCATTGTTAGCCGAAAGTACCCGAAAATCAACCAGCCGTCATCAAATGCCGTCTGATCCTGTATTGCATTAATCTAGCGGTGCTGGATTTCCCATCATTGTTGCTATCGTATATTGATGTCATGTCGCATACGCGCTCAATCTGGCCGCCACCTCGCCCGTGTGTTCAGTTACGTGCACCTGCCGGCATTACGACCTATCCATGTGGTCTAATGACTCTTGTGCGTTCCCTGTCCCTCCGCTGGGCGCGCGCACGCCCTCGTCCTGCGAAAGCGACATCTGACGCCCCCTCCCCACCCTCGCCCCACCAGGGTTGTCAACCAGCAGTTCCAGACATTGATGGAGAGCCAGCAGTCGCACAGCCGGCGCAAAGTGCTGGCCGGCCTGGTGATGACCACCGGGCCGCAGATGTCCGAGGTCAAGGTCATCTCTGTCTCCACCGGCACCAAGTGCATCAACGGCGAGCACATGAGCGTGGAGGGCAACAGCCTGAACGACTGCCACGCCGAGGTGATCACGCGGCGCTGCCTGCTGGACTACCTGTACGGCCAGCTGGAGCTGCTGCTGGCGCCAGGTCAGTGGACGGCCGAGGTGACCGCGCCCGCCGCGCGCCGCCGGCCGTCACCGCCGGCCGTCACCGCCGGTCGTCACCGCGGGCGGTCACCGCTGACGCCGTTCTCACCGCTGGTAGTCGCCGCCACGTACGCGTGACGAGCGGTGCCCGGCGTCTGTGCTGGGTCGCGGCTGGTGGCAGGGCGGCTTGTGGTATCGACAGCCTTGCCGCGGCGTGAGGCCCGCCGGCGGTGGGTGACGCCGGTGGCGACGCTTGCGCGGCCGCGGCCGGCGCGCTGCGCTGCTTTGCTTCGAGCCGCGCTGCCGGTGCCTCGCGAGGCGGCTGCCACGGCACTGGACGCTGACCTCTCGGCGCCGGCCGCGCCGCGGGCCGCTAACGAGCTCCGCCGGCGGCCGCAGCGCCAGCGCCGCCGGCTGGCCATCGGTTTCCGGGCCGGCCGGCGGTAATGGTGTCCGGCCGCGCGCCGGGTGGCTGGCGCCGCCTCGGCACACCCGGCGCGGCGCCGGCGGCTGCTTGGTGCGATTTTGCGCTCCCCGTGTTGCGTGTGTTCCGCTGGGGACTCCCCGTGGTCTGCTGGTCCCGGACGGACCGGTTCTGGCGAGACGATGCCTTTTGCGGCCGCCCCGACCGTCGTTTTATTGGGTGTGTTTGTGTTGTCCGAGCCTCCACTGGCCTCAATGCTCCACCGCTCCCGTCCTATCAGCCGCCTTGGCTCTGGCTGCATTGGCTCCGTCGCCGTCCGGAGCCGAGACGCCGCGCCGGCTGGACGGGCGCGCCGTCTCCTTTCTCTGCCCTCTCGACCGGTCTGTTGTGTCGGTGATCGGGTTGGGGCCGTCAGCCGTCTCCGCCGCCGGCCGACGCCGACCGATGGCGCGTGACGCCGGTGGCGGCGCCCCGCTTCTCCTTGGCGGGGCTCGCCCCTCAGCGCTGCCGCAGCGCCGCCCGGTGGCGGACAGAGGGGGGGGGGGGGAGGGGGTGACTGCGCGGGACTGTGGATGCTACTCGGACTGATCAGGACGATCTACGGGTACTGATCAGAGCCAGAGGACTGATCGAACAATCTCCGAACGCTAGTTGGAGGACTGGCCGGGACCGCGTGGGTGCCGATCAGAGGGCTGATTGGACAAATTGCGAGCCCTCGTCGGAAGACCGACAGAAGCCAGCTGGGACGGCGGTCGGATGTGAGGCCCGGGCGGACCGGCTGCCGCCTGTCGCCTGCCGGGCCGACCGCCTGAGTACTGGCTGTGGTCGCCTGTGATCTGTGACGGCCGCTCCGAGCTCGCCTGATTCTCCCGATGGGCGACTCTGCTGTCGGCGGACAGGGCGCCGCTGGCGCCGGGCGGTGCTGCACCTCGGGGAGGGCGCGGCGTCCGGACCGCGGTCCGCGGCACGAGCCGCCTCCGCATGTGACGCACGCCCGATGGATCGCCCGCGCCGCCGTGTCGCGTACGGCAGGTCACGCGGCGGTCCCCTTCGCTTCTGTTGTTGTTGGCGCGGCGGTGTCACCGCTGAAGAGCCAGAAGAACGGGTCGTTAGTCGCGCGCCGCTTCAACCTGTCGCCGCCGAGCGGCGCTCGTATAGATTGGCTTTGAATCTCTCCTCGGTCATCCCGGGCCTCTGTCCGAGCGCTCGCGAGCGGTGCGGCCTCCGTGACGTGGGGTCCGCGTTCCTGGACGCGTGCGTCGGCCGCGCGCCGTGCATCGCCCCGTCGGAGCGTCTGTGGCGTCAGGGCGACGGTGCCGCGGCTGCCGGCTGGAGTGTGTCGTCCGGACCGGTGATGGTCGCGTGCACGCCCCGGGGCGGCCTGTTGACGAGAAGGGCGGCTGGCGACGCCGAGCAGTGCGCCGCGTCGCCCTCCCCAGCTGTTCGTGGCGTGGTGAATGCTGTTGCGGAGTCCACGGCTTGCGCAAACAGGACTGCGACAAGTTTTGGTGTATTCGGGGCGGCTGTGTGCTGTGTGGGCTACAGCGGGTTGCAAACATCCCGCCGGCGGTGCCCCACGCCTGCGGCCCGTTTCCTGCGGCGTGCCTGGCGCTGGTGTCTCGCGGCCCGGGCTGCACCCCCTGCAGACACGGGCTCCCGGACCACCAACTCATTTGGGCCCACCCACCGGCACGGGCGCCGGCTCCTGTTACACCTGCCTGGTGCCGTCCGCGGCCCACGTCCGAGCACGCGCCGACGCCCTCGCGCTAATCAATGCGCCAGCCGGCTGTCCGTCCGCCTGTCGCGAGCGTGGGCGCCGCCGTTGCCGCTGCCCCTGCTCCTGCTCCTGCAGCTGCCCCTGCCGATGCCGCCGCTGCCCCTGCCGGTGCCACCGCCGCCACCGCTGCTTCCGCCGCTACCGCTGCTGCCGCCGCCGCCGCTGCCGCTACCGCGGTTCGTCATCCACGCCCCCTCCCCCTCCCGGCCCCCGCCACCCTCCGCCGGCTCTCGTTTATCATCTGCACTAAAAAGGCGCCGATGAAATAGCGCGCCGGCGGCGACGACGGCAGTCGGTTATTGCACGAGACGCGGAGCTGGGGACGTTTCTTCCTTGAATTTCGGAGCGCGGATATTGTGTGGCAGCACTGTCATATGTATCACTAAATTCACGTCAGCGGTTTTTATGGTTTAATTGGGGATTTTATATTGTTGTTAGCCTTGCGCGTAGAGCTTGTTCAAAAAGTTTTTTTTTTAATTGTACAGCGTGTTGACATAATGCATAGAAGACATATGTTTTTCCGTGCGTGATGCAGTTGTATTTCACCAATGCTGCTTTTGTTCTATTTCGAGCACCAACTGGTCTCATTTATCCGCATATTGTGTGTCATGGGCTGCTCTGTGTGTGGCCTCCGGACATCGCAAATCCTGACCAACCTATCCAGCCCGGACTCGTGATGACGTCAGCACCGCTCTCCTTCATAGCCCGCTGAAGTTGTTTTCTCTCCGTTTCCCGCGGTATATTTCCGTCCGGCCTTTATGGCCGCCGGGGGTCGGCCGGAACATCCCAAGGGCGTCGGCAGCGGCCGCACTCAGCTCGCGCCGCCGCCTCTCCCTCTGTTTGTGTTCCCTGGCGGCAGCACCGACGCCACCCGTCTGGCCGCTAACGATATGCGTGTCTTGGCTGCCGGCAGAGACAGAGAGCGACAGCATATTCGAGCCGAGGCCAGAGGGTCGCGGTTACCGCCTCAAGGAGAACGTCCAGTTTCACCTGTACATCAACACGGCGCCGTGCGGCGACGCCAGGTACCGCAGCTTTTGGCTGCCGCCAAGAGATGGCGCGACTCGTGATCGCATACGTAATTTGGTGGGCGTGTTGGCTTGCTGATGAGCTTGTAGAAGCAACTATGGATGCGTGTGTGAGGACGTGCCGAACAATGGCTGACAACAGGAGGGGATCTTTGGCGCAGGAACGTTTATGGCACCTGCTATTCCATGGTGGCATGCAAATTGTTCGAGATTTTCATACCTTGTATGTTGCGGTTCATCATTCCGCAATGCTCACCTTACGCTTAAATGTTTGTTTTACTTAAAAAATAACAGTAATATTTCAGTGCTTTAATTTATCTTCTAATTCCTCGGGGGATGCAGTTTCACTGACGCAGTGAGCGCTCATTGCACGCTCCAGAGGAACGCGAGATGTGATTCTCGTTGACTGCAGTTCATCTACCGCCGCGCGGTTGTGCCTCAAGCGCAGCCACCATGAGCGGGGAATGAGGCAGCTTACCAGATCATAGGGCGCTGTGCGTTTTTTACTGCAATTGACCCATAGACGTGCCCGGTTTCGGCACCTGCGGCGCTCTCTACACGCAGTGTCTATGATCTCCGCGCCAGTCGTCGTCACTGAGCTCGCGGGCGCCCATATGCAACGCCGCTCCGCGTGTGTCACGCCAGTGCCCGGTCGGTCCGGCGCGCTATTACCTGCATATTGGGCTGCAGGGGGGACCCTGACCGACCGAGGACCGACGGGTGACCCTGGCCGTCGGCCGCGCCGCCTGACCGACCGAGGACCGACGGGCGACCCTGACCGCCGGCCGTGCTGCCTGACCGATCGAGAACCGAGGGGCGACCCTGGCCGTCGGCCGCTCCGCCTGACCGACCGAGGACCGACGGGCGACCCTGGCCGTCGGCCGCTCCGCCTGACCGGCCGAGGATCAGGGGCGACCCTGACCGCCGGCCGTGCCGCCTGACCGACCGAGGGGTGACCCTGACCGCCGGCCGCGCTGCCTGCCGCCAGGATCTTCTCTCCGCACGAGGCGCAGACGCGGACCGAGTCGTCCGACAAACACCCGAACCGGAAGGCGCGGGGGCAGCTGCGCACCAAGATCGAGTCCGGGGAGGGCACCATTCCGGTCAAGTCGAGTGACGGCATTCAGACCTGGGACGGGGTGCTTCAGGTGAGGCGCTGTCACCCACACCCGGGGTGAGATGTTTTGGATCAGGTCCGTGGCATCCAGACCTGAAACAGGTAATTCAGGGGATTGTTTGGGAGTGGGTGCATGATGTCCATAGCTGAAACGCGATCTGATGTGAATGTTTGTGTTCTATGTGTAAAATTTGGAAGTGAGCTGGGGATGAGAAAAGGTGCGAGGAGTTGCTGTTCGAGGCTCTCACACCACGCAAAGGTGCGCCACGACGCGCATTGTGGCGCGACCGCCCGCTGCGTGTGCGTCGCCGGGCGCCGGCTGCGCCACCCCCGTCGCACTGTGACCATTGCGCCGCACACGGAAGCCGGCGGCCTTTGAGAACAATGGCCAGGCGGGTACCGGTCAGAGCGACGATGGCGTTATCAGATGTCTGGCTCGTCGCCTATCTGCAGATCTCGGCGGGTTGGACACGGGACGATATAGATTATTTACAGTGTCGTGCTACTTGGGCTGGGCATTTTTCTCGGGTGTCTGGGAAGTGTAGCTGTGACTGTTGTTTCTTGGCTGGTTGGCTTGCTGTGCTCTTGTCCTCCGTCGAAAATGAAACCTGTTCGATGAACTTGCAGGTGTTTCGAGGGCTCTGCTTAGTGATTATTGTGCTTTACATTTGATTTATGTTTTTGGAATATGCTGCAAACCAGTTTTACGCAAGCATAGCGTATTGCGGGAGCTGACTGTGACATATTTTTTCAGACAGTAGGTATTTACGTTAAACGAATGGGAACTGCCCGCATTGGTACTGGTGTCTGGTGTGCTAGTGCCCAGACCGCAGAGGAGCAAGCAGGTGCTGGCTCGGTCTGGTGTTTAGCCAAGATTCTGATTAAGTAGGAGACTGTCTGCGGTGAAGTGGGTGTTAAGCTCCGTAGCGAATTGGGCCTTGAATTGAAAACTCCGCTCATGTGGTGCCTCTGCAAACACTCGCATGTTTCACCGGTTTTTCCGTGGCATGCCAGTGTGCCAACCGCAGAACGCGGAAGAGATCTTCGGACTGTGTCCGGTTGTAGCCTGTGACGGTCGTGACTGTGTGTCCGGTTGCAGCTGGTTGTAGCCGGTTGTAGCCTGCGACGGTCGTGACTGTGTGTCCGGTTGTAGCCGGTTGTAGCCGGTTGTAGCCTGCGACAGTGTTTGACTCGCACCTGAGAACTTAGCAAGGCGTGGAGCGGGATAGCGGGCTGGAAGCTTCTAATCTGGGAAGGCAGTGAGACTGCGGTACCTTTTTACTCTGCACTGCGCATACGGGGGACACTGTCGTCGAATTGACCGACCGAGATCCCTCCCAGATTTGACCTCTCTGACTGGATATCGTGACTCTCTGTTGACAGAACTGCATTGCCTGACCTCACCCTGACCCCCTGACCTCACCCTCACCCGGTGTCTCCTTTGACCGGCAGGGACAGCGACTGCTCACCATGTCCTGCAGCGATAAGATAGCCCGCTGGAACGTGGTGGGGGTGCAGGGCTCACTGCTCGCCCATTTCATCGAGCCCATCTACCTGGCTAGCGTGGTGCTGGGCAGTCTGTTCCACCCGTCACACCTGGTGCGCGCCATCGGCGGTAGGATCGGCCCGACGGCGCAGGGCCTGCCGCCGCCCTACCGGCTGCACACCCCCCTGCTGGCCGCCACCAGCTCGCCAGAGGTGCGGCAGCCCGGCAAGGCGCCCAACTACAGCATCAACTGGACCTGCGGTACGTAGCGCGGGCGCGGGCGCGGGCGCGGGCGCGGGCGCGGGAGCTCGGGCGCGCGGGCGCGGACACAGGTTCGCGTTCTGGCTCGGGCGCGGGCGCGGGTGCTCTGTTCTGAGACGTACCGTGTGCGTGGACCGGATGTGGTGGGTTTGGTTTGGAATCGTGGCGGATTATGGGACGAGTGTGTTTACCTGCGAACGTTGTAGCGGCGGAGCGCGCCGTAACGAAACGGAGCGAGGATAGCTGCGGTCATCCACCACGCGGCCTTGTGTCTGAAGTGACGGAAGCGCCAGTGACGTGTTCACTCGATCCGGTGGCTTTTTGTGGTCTGGCGCTGCTTGAAAAGCGGCCTGTCTGAGCCCCGGTCCACACCTTTTTGTCACTGAGAGGCCTGCTCAGAAGCATGCCAGATGTCCATGGGTGTGTGTTTATCTGTCGTATCGGGCATCTCTGTCCGACCTTGGACGCCAGACACCTGTGGTGTAGCACTGGACTGAGGTGTTCTCAGTCTGGGTCGTGCCGGCCTGACCGCGTGGGACCTGACGCTGTTGTGCCATTAGCCGACGTCCGGCCTACCAGTTATGCTAGGCGACCGTGATCTCGTCGCCTTCCGGGGGTGCTCCCTGGTGTCATGGGGTGTCTCTGTGATGTCACACATGGCCTCGTTTTCTTCATGGGTCATCGCTGCTTGAGAGTGGTGCGCCTTGTAACGACTCTCATAAGAAAGACATCGAGTTTCCGGAAAATCTCGTCGAGGAAGTGCATTGCAAGTGATGTTCTTTCGAATTAACGTTAAGGAGATGACTAAATCGCCGTGATTGAAAATAATTAGACGTCGAATGTGTGTATGTCTGTATGTAATTATGTTTACTCACTTTGTAATTGTCACTCGACTTCCGTTTCCCGTCTAGCTATTACGGGTTGCGAAGTGATTGCAAAAGTATCAGTAATGGTTGAGACCATGATTGCGCACGTGGCTATTCATGCCCTGATTGCTAATTACACTCAACATCCGTGAAACCAGCGCTCGATCGAAGCTCTTTTCGCTTTCCCTTAGGTCTTAATGCACTCCGACCACGCCAGCCCAGATGCATTAGCGGTGGACTTGCGGTGTGTGTCGTGGCGTCGGCGTCGGCGTCGGCGGTTCAGCATGGGAGGCAGCGGTGTGCGGCAGCGTTCCGCCCCGACCGTCTCCGCTTCCCCGGCTGGACCAGGCCGAGGTCGGCAGCTGTCCCGTCGTGCGGCGGTGGCTCGTGAGCTCTGGCGGCGCCCTGTCCGCCCCGCGTGACGCGTCCGTCCGTCCCCGCCGCCGCCGCCCGGTCGGCCCGCCGCGCCCAGGGCCGGGCGGCGGGGGCGGACTCGCCGGACAGACATCCTCCGCGCGCGTGTCCAGCAGGCCGCCGGTGGGCTGCTGTCCAGTCACGTACAGCGATGTCCGGTCAGCAATCGTTAGAGGCGAGTGGGGGATGGCGCTCCCGCCGGCCGGTCGCCCTCCGTGTGGCGGCGGAAGCATCGCTGCTTCGAGCGACATGTGGAGGAGGCTCGGCTATCGCCTGCCACGCGATAACGCGGGGCTCGACAGCAGCCTTCAGGGTTACGACGCTGAGGGCGCCGGCACTTCCACGCGTCGATAAATAACCCGCCTGCTGACGTCACGAGCCGCGGCGATCGTGACGGATGATTCGGTCTCTAAACCTGCCCGTGCTGTCTCTGAGAAATGGCCGGTCACGCCCGGCCGTTCACTATGGGTGGTCACGTGCTTCGTGGTCACGCGCCCGATTATGGGGTGTCGCGCCGGCACGTGAATTCGAACCGACCGTTTGTCATGCATATCATCTGGACCCAAGGCTGGAGCGTGCCACTTCTCGCTGTTGAAATTGCTTCCGGGCAGACGCGTGCTGGCTGTGAGAACGCATGGCTAGCTCGGCCGTTGCTGCTTCTCATCGTTTCAACCCCGTGGTGTGTGGCTGCAAAACCTGGAGAACGTCTCTTTTCTGTTGGCCTGTCTGTGCAGCTCGCAGTTACTGTAACGATGGCCTATGCTGTGGCCAGGCTCTCATGCCGACTCTCCGGCCGTCCGGCACCCTTTGTGATACTTTAGTGCATGCTGTACCTCCCGTACAAAACATAAGACCCCAGTAATGCAATATGGTGGAACCCTTCATGCAAAGGTTCGATTGGCACTGCCGAACGGCCATCAGTGTGTTCCGTGTGTCTGTGACATGTTCGCACTGAGTACTACCGAGTCCGGGGTGCCTTTCCTGCGAATCGAAAACGACGGCACTGTAACCGGGTGTTTGGTCAGTCACCGTCAGCCTGCCAAGTCTGAGGCCGGTGTGCCCAGACTGAGACACTGAGACCGGCGTGCCTAGACTGAGACCGTCGTGCCCAGACTGAGACCGGCATGCCTAGACAGGCCGGTCTGCCTGGACTGAAGCCGGTGTTCCTGGACTGAGAACGGCGTGCCCGGACTGAGGCCGGCGCCGACGTGCCGAGATCCAGACCGGCGTGCCCAGACTGGTTTGCAGCCCCCGCGGTGCGGCGTCTGCCGTCGTCCCAGTGTGCGCACGGCTGACACTACGGCCCCTTCCATAGCTGCCACCTCCAGTTGAGCGCTCTGAACGCGAGACCAGTCCACCCCCGTCCTCTGCGTTCCCAGTCTTACGGCACTCTGTCGTCACGCTTATGCGCGCTTGCAGTCAGTTTGTGTCGGAACGCGCCCGTCATTGTCAAACAAAGGGACGCACCCGTCTGGTCTGGCGAAATCCGCTTCTTTTTTCGCGCGTCAGCCTGGCTTGCAATGCGATAGCGACAACTCGTAGACCGATAATCGTTGCCATTTTTCAGATTTGGTTCTTTCCTCGTTGACGAAACCGGCAGCGTTCGCTAGCCAAAACGCGCTTCACCATGCGCCTCCCTTGTGCGGCTCTCAGTCCGGTGCGTCAACCGGTGGGGTCATGCTGGGCATGGGAGGTCAGGCCAGGTCAGGCCAGGTCAGGCGGCGACGAAGACTCCAACACCTGAGGACTCCATGCCAGCTCCGGACCCTCCCCGCCCCTCTCCGTTCCCGCTGGCCGTCGACGGCCGTCCAAACAGCGGCTGTCTGACTTCGCCGCTGTCCCGTGGCCAGAGGGCAACCGGAGCGCGCCGGCAGTGCTTGACACGTGTTGGCGGGCGCGGCATGAGCGGAGCCGGGCCGCCGCCGGCGCGGTCTGGCCGGCCGGTGCGGTCCGCGGCGCCCCGCACAGCCGGCCTTGGAGGGTGACGGGGGTCCCCCGTGACGGCTCTGGCCTCGCCGGACCGGCCGCCCGTCGTGACTACGGTCACTCGCCCCGTCCAGTGCGCCCCAGCGTGTCGTGTCCACGTCTGGATGGGAAAGGCGCACAGTCGAGCCGCCGCCAGACACTGACGACATTGTTTGTCACGACGGTGGCAGTGTGTAGAAATGTGTCGCGAATGAGGGGTTAACGGCCACCTTTCCTCCATGCACTTGCTGTGCAAACTCTGCTCAGGCTAGTGTTGCCATCGCTCTTCCAAAGTGTTCTTGCGACGTCACCTGACTTTTACAGCGGTCATTCTCTCGTGTGCTCCTTGTCGGTGGTCGAGCACAGCCTGACATTGCCGATGTACCGCGGCGGTGGCCGCTCCAGCACAGCCTCCTCGGCTCCCTCCCTTCCCCAGCGTGGGGAAGGAATGTTGTACTGTGCTGGAATCCCGCCCTTTGCCGTACGGTGACCGTGCCGAGCGCGCCGGCTGCGGCCGGGCCTGACGGGCCCTTGCTCGGCTGTCGTGCCGCGTCGCCACGCCACGCGCCGTCCGGTCCAGGCGTTGCCCGGCCCGGTCCGGTCCGGCCGGTCCGGTCCCACGCCGTACCCGGCAGCCAAGGTCGCGGCCGGCCGCCGTCGGGACCGCGCCTCGGCCCGGCTCTGGCTCCGGACGTCGTCGGCCCAGGGTCGCCGAGGCGGTCCTGCCGCCGTGCCGTGCCGCGCCGCGCCCGCGGCCCGGGCGTGGCTCGGCGCTGACGTCACCGCTCAGGCCACGGCCGGGACCCCGGTGTCCTGCGGGTCGGCGTAGGTCGGCGGACGCGCGCGTGCTGGGCGGCCGGTGCGGTCGGGTTTGTTGCCTGCGGACGGGAGACGGCGCTTCGGTTTGGTCCAGTGGGCCTGGTCCGTTGGCGCCGCGACCGTTGATATACTGCGCGGCCGGAAGGCGTCACGCTTGTCCTTCGTTTGTGCACGCTGGAGCTGACATGCGGCACTTCCCCTGACTCGACCGGCTGGTCCAAGAATAAAACTGGCATGTACTAGTTGGTGGTGGTTGCTCTGGTGATGTCCTGATGTCCCCGACTCGTCTCACTGTAGATTTGTTGCCATTGTTGTGGTGAAGAAAATCCCTTAATCAGTGCGCACGTCTTTTGCTCTTTATGATAAGCCTCTTGCCGATCCTCAACAGGCCGCTTGGTGCATCCACCTTTGCGGGGCTCACATGTGTGAGTGACGCGCCCGCCTATCGCCACCCATCATGGGCACAATCCGCGGGCGGCGGCGCGTCGGTTTTTATCCTCGCTAGTGTGCGGTATATTTGAATCATCTGTAATAGGTGAGAACAAAGACTATCTTTTGACACAGCAATAAAGGTGAAGGACTTGTCCGTGGCCACCAGTCTGATCCTGCCTTCGTCCACAGACCAGCCGGCGGCCGAGGTCATCAATCTGACCCCGCTCCCTCCGCAGACCAGCCGGCGGCCGAGGTCACCAATCTGACCCCGCTCCCTCCACAGACCAGCCGGCGGCCCGAGGTCACCAATCTGACCCCGCTCCCTCCACAGACCAGCCGGCGGCCGAGGTCATCAACGCCATGACTGGCAAGAACGAGGCGGGTCAGGCGTCCCGGCTCTGCAAGCGCTACCTGTACGCCCGCTTCCGGCGGCTAGTGGGCCGCCTGCGCCCCATCTCGGACGCGCTGCACGCCGGCCAGCTGCACCTCGATTACGGCGACGTCAAGAGGCTGAACACCTCCTACGTGGTGCGCTCCCCGCCGCCGTCGTCGCCGCCGCCGCCGCCGCCGCCGCCGCCGCCGCCGCCGCCGCCGCCGCCGCCGCCCGGCGCACCTGCGGGCTGGCCGGGCTGGCCGGTCGAGGCACGGGTGGCTGTGGGGGGGGGGGGGGGGGAGGGGACGGCGGCTGCCTCGGGAGGAAGGGTGGTGGTGCCGTTTTCATGAACCGCGATGTGATGCGTGGAAGGGTGTGGTGTCTGTGAAGCCTTGGTGGGCGTGGCGCGCCGGAGGTGCCTTGGAGACCGATCGGAGGAGCTCGCTGCCTCCGCTGCCGACGCTCGGCACCTTTTGTTAGTTGTTTTGCTGCGCCTTTTTGTCACGAATATCGTTTTAAGTGGGGCTGCTATTGTCATTACACTCGCTGTCGGTATGCTTTGGTAACGACGCCGAGTGACTCCTGACGACATCGTGCTCGAAATGTTGAGTGGTGGTCGGTCATAAGAGGCACGATTGAAGTCGTGCTCCATTTTTCACCTGCTGCTCGCAGCATCTCAAAAATGTTGTCAATGGCGGAGAAAAGCTGGTCTGTCCGTATCGCACTGTAGCTGATCTGTGATCTCCGCCATAACTCGTGCCGATCTTCTCGAGGCGACTTGTGCCACATGGTATTTGTGTGACCACGCCCTGCACGTAGTACCCGCTCCGTGATTCCAGTATGTGGCACGAGTCACCGGCCGCGTGTGGCCGAGCGTGCTCTCTCTGACCGCAGCTTCCTGTTGTGTCCGGCAGGCGGCGCTCGGGTGCCTGGTGGCCGCGTTCCGTCGCGCCGAGCTGGGCGAGTGGGTGAAGAAGCCGATCGAGCAGGACATGTTCCAGGTGGACGCCAGCGAGCCGCTGCCGCCGGCGCCGCCGCCGCCGGCGGTCGCGCCGCCCCGGACGTGACAGCCGGCCGGCGGCGACGGTGCGCCGGCCGGCCGCCAGTAGGGGGCGCCGTCGGCAGCGCCGCAGCCGCCCGGCCGGCCCCGGCCGCGCGCCCACCCGATCTCAGAGCCGGGCCCGGCCGGCGCCGCCGCCAGCTGACGGCGCGGCCCACCGGCCGGCCGCCGCGCGTCGTCGCCGCTGCCGTTGCATTCCAGTCGTGTCGCGCACGAGCCCTAGACTCGAGTTGTGTGACAGCCCGTGGGTCGGGCGACGTCGGAGCGCACACTCTGTTTCTACTGAAGCGAATTCGGACTGGTTTCTTCTTTGCACAGTTGGCTAGCTTGCTTACCCGCGCCACGCTGTGGCCCGGTGCGCCGCGCATGCGCCGTGCGGGCCGCTTCAGGGGGTTGCTATGTTTTATGCGACACCGCCGCAGGTTCTGGTTTTCCGTTTTACTCTACATGTAGCGCGCCGATCATGCCTGTTTTAGCTTGTACATTCTCGTGTGTTGTTTTCTCGCGCGGCGGCCGGGCAGGGGTTGTCGGCCCGCACCGTAGCCCGTCTAGTCGTCTCCAGCCCGCCCCTGCCCGGCCAGCCCCCGACTGTACATATTGACGGCACATCCCAGAATGTAGGGCTGAAAACGGGGCGGCGCTAGGGACCGTTTTAAAGGCCTGGCCTGTTGTGTGTGGGGACTGAGAACCCACCCTGATGTGACAAATTTATCGTCTGTTATGTGCATAGATACGAATACTTCTTACTGATACTGGAATTAATAATAAAACGCTGCGATTGCTTCAGCTGTCTTCAGTGCGGCTCCCGTGGCCGGGCGCCTTGCTTCAGCTGTCTTCAGTGCAGCTCCCGTGGCCGGGCGCCGTTGAAGCTTTGCCGCGGTTTGCAAACGGAGTGATGCAGGTGCTGTTGTGGCAGCGCTGAGACTGAACCAGGATTTGACCTGCCATGGGCTAGGGTTTTCACCACTCCCTAGTTATTGGGGTCTATCTTTGCTCCTCACCGTTTTTAGCACCACTGAATCGTGTCTTTTTTGGGCCGGCTTTCTCTTGTTGGATCTTTTTCTTGGTGCCCATAAGACTCTATTTCTGCATGCTTATAATTACCTGCTAGTTGCGCTCAGAGGACAAGGTCAGGATCTAAGCGCTGCTTACTCGCTGCCTGACGTCGGACTGCGTTCCTCGCGTGTTCACCTGGAGTTTTGGGCCGACCGAATGCCAGTAGGGCTCAGCCGGCGCAAAGACATTACAGATTAATTACAAACACATAATTCAACAAACCGATACATAATACATAACCGTACGCATGTCTAGTGGTTTTAAAAGCATCAAAATTTCAGATATCAGAGTTGCTTTCGAGTGGTGTGGTCTCGCCATGCCCCACGGGGAATCACTGATCACCGTGTGTGGGGTCGTGCGACACCAGGAAGGATGGCAGGGCCTGTAACGATTATAACAGCCGTGAAGCTATGCCACAAAAAGTGGAGTGACTTGTCGCGGCACTCCAGTTTTGTCGTAACCCGGCCGCTTCTTTAATTGGTGGTCTGCGTCCCTTTGATGCGGCGTCTCATACACGGGCCATGACGCAGCCGTTTTTGTTTTGTGCCCCAGACAGACCCGTTAGTTGGGGGTATTAGCTGTGACTTAACAGGGCTTTTGAGTGCCCAGCTCAGCCTCTTTACTTCCTTAAAGCGAGATGTTTTTACAGGGCGTGGCGGCTGGCGATGTTTTTCCGGGCAGGAATGCAGCTTGGTTGAAATATCAAGCGTAACAATAGGTCTTAAAATGAGCTTCACTCTATCGATGTAAGTGGGTTCCGGTTCACCGGTTCAGGCACTGCTCGGTCGTGTACAGTGTGGGTGTGTGGGAATTTCTGTGCTCTCGAAAGCTTCGGACGGTGTGCTTGACATTGTACACTGTGTCCGGCCTCGACCACACCCGACACTGACGACCAGAGCTGGTGGTGATATATGCCTCGGGGGCGTGCGTGGTGGGTGCGAGACAATGACAATGTCGCAAAGCATTAGCCACGGCTGCCGACGGGCCGCGGGCGCGCTGCCGCCCGTCTCTGAAGGTGAGGCAGATGACCTGGGCCGGCGGCTGTGGGTGTCGGCCCGCGCCTGTGAGCCCCGCCCGGGGTGTCGGCCCGCCTCTGGTCCGTGATCAGCTCTGTGAGCCGGGCCGGCCGTGGGTGTCGGCCCGCCTCTGGTCCGTGATCGGCTCTGTGAGCCGGGCCGGCGTGGGGTGTCGGCCCGCCTCTGGTCCGTGATCAGCTCTGTGAGCCGGGCCGGCCGTGGGGTGTCGGCCCGTCTTTGGTCCGTGATCAGCTCTGTGAGCCGGGCTGGGCGGAGCGCGATGAGTGTAGCGCCGTGATGTACGGCCGGGCGGCGACGGGGCGGCACGGGCCGGGTCAGCGCGCTGACCCCTGCGGCGACCGGGTCACGGCCGGGTCGGTGACCCCGGGACGGTGTCGAGCGCGTGCCGGCCCCCGTGCCGGCCACTCAGGCAGGTGCGCCGGCCGGCTCAATGTCGGCCCGCCTCGGCACGAGCGGACATGTACAGAGGAGTGGACGAGCGGTACAATGCGAATACATATGCAAATACGGATACAAAAGAGTGGGTGGGGCAGCATGTGTGAACGTTTCACAAGACACCGCTGGCAACATGCTTCGTATCCTGAGATTGCATTGTGTCTCACCGGGGTCGAGTCGTGTCACGATTGTAAATTATTCTCTGCACGTACGTTCCCGACCACCATTACTCGGTTGTCATTAGAGATACAAGATAGAGTACGCAAGCCCTCGCAATATACTTAGATAAGCGATGCGTAGCCCGACACCTTTCAAACACCCCACGGCCAGGCTTAATTGGTGCTCGTCACGCATGCGTGCATGCATGCTTATGTTAATTCAGCGCTGCCGGGTCCATGTGTCTCACACTGTAGCGATATCGCAGATGACGGCGGCGATGGCGCTCTCCGACACGCTTCACACGTCTGATGTAGCGTGTTCCTCCCTGCGTCCGTCCAGACAGAAGTGGCACGTGCTGCGCTGCTAAATTACAGTTGCATTTGGCTTTATGGTTTCAGCTGACGCGGCAGTGTATTTAAATAAGGAAGTGTTGCCCATGTGAATGGTGTAATTGGACGCTGTTCAGCCGCACTGCACTCTCCATGTAGAATAAAGGCATGCACGTTACAGGTTTCATTGCTGAAACATGAGCAGATTTCGCCATACGCTGTTGCGTTAGCTCAGTCAGCCCCCAATCGGGAGAACTGGAATGCGCAACTATTGATTACATGTTAATAAAGCTACCGGACTGGCGCCTGCGATACGTGCTTCTCACATATGTCAGTAGGCCAATAACGGTGGTAGCGCACGGCCTGACAGCCTTTATGAATGCTAATGCGAATGAGATGATTTTGTGTTTGTGTGCACTGCGCAGCCCTGCGCTTCGCTCCGCTTCTGCAGGATCGATTACGATTAGATTCCATGTCCATGGAGGTAACTCGACTATGATTCAATCTGTGCAAACGAAATCACCTTGCATATAAAGGTGAAATATACGTCTCATTCTAAGCTTTAAATACAAATATTTACTTTGAAAGCTTTCGGAACCGTGATGTCATGACAGTCGCTCTTGGCGCCCGGCGCCCGTCGGATGGTGCTATAGGCAGCGCTCAACGCCGTTCGGCTTTGCGAAAGCTGCAGCCTGGGCTACCGCCGTTCTCGCTGCTAAGATTGTGAACGTGCATGCTCCAAACTTTGTAATTTGTTCACCGGTCGATTCTACAAACGATGGACGTTCTTGGACCAACATGCGATGGCCTTTTTTCATTGCTGACTTCATTTCGATCCATTCTATTAAACACTGATGAGACGCAAGCCTTGCGCCGTACAAGGGACCCAGTAGGTGGAACACCAGGGGCACACCATTGTTCCCGGCAGAGGCTGAATGACTGTTCTGTTCCAGTGCCGGACACCTACCGGCTGTCATTCCGACGAAGCGGTAGTGGAGCTCCCTGACCGATTCGGGGCCCCCAGAAGAACAAGTCATGTTATGGCACCATTCCTGACCCGGGATGTCCCCTGACCCGGGCAGTTGGCTACGGACCGGCGCAGAAGATCTCATTGACGCAACAAGATTCCTTGCCGCAGCATGTGATCCCAAAATTGATGTAGAGACTCCAGTTCTGCTTGACGGGCCCTTGGCTGTAACGGGGTGGAGAGCCCCTCATTCGGTACTGGGGGCCCTGACTGACATAGGCCTCTCCGTTGTCTCATGATGGACCCTACTCATAAGTTCTTATATTTCCACTCATTGTCAGGGGGCACCGACCAGCGCAAGAGACCCTGTGTGATTCGGGACTCCATCACTGCCCCTGTTCAGCAAATGATCCCTTGGCCGACTCGGGCCCCCTGCCATCACAGGACTCCCTGCTGCGCACTATAGGACACAAACCGTCAAAAGGTTCCTCATTGTTGCGGTGGTCTCAACCAATGCCAACTGCGGACCCTGTTCTCATCCCCGCTTGAGAAATGGGCCCCCAGGGCCGAGACCAACCTAGAGCCAACTGTTTGGTGTTGGTGGTCTCCAGCCGAAATGGAGGCCCGCATTATCTTCTTCAACCGGTGCACGAGGCCCACGGACTGGTATTTTGGACCTCGGACTGATATAGACCTTGATCCCGAAGGAAGCTCCGGTTCCCTCTTTGGGTCATTCGAAATTCGTGAGGTGACGTGGTTCCGAAAATTTGCCAAGGAGGCAGCCCACCTCGTTGACGCTTCAGAATATCAAATAACCGACCGACAATGGTCCGGGAATCAGAGGGTGTTCAGGAAAGGCTGACACTCTTCCACTTTCCTCTTAAATATGTTGAGTGGTGGGTCCCACAATGCATTTGAGTGTTTTGGGGCTTGCGAGTACATGATGTGATGAAGTGACTTAAATCTCATGAGGAATGGAATTGTGTGCGTGGTTGGGGCTGTTTTTACCAGGCCATTATGACCCTACTCTGACTAAAGGATATTCTGTAAAAATCCTTTAACCTGAGGGATAATAAGGTTAGCACGAATGTACGGGTTTAATGATGCATTAAATAGCTCAATTTATGTGGCGCCGACACCTTTCACGCCGATTTCCGCAGTGGGGGAGGGGGAGGGGCATGCAGCCATTGGCCGGGAGCCAGGCTCAAACCCCGCAACTGACGGCTGTGACGCGAAAGTACTCCCAAGTAACTGAGCTGCACCGTCTTCTTCCCCACGCTTGGGTCCTCGATCGTAACGTAGTTCAAGCGCCTATGCCAAGCGCTTAATTGTTTATACAGTTGCATTTGTAGCAAGTGATGAGTCGCATCTCATGAACCACAAATATGGGAGACTGCGCTACAATGCATCACCAGCTGCACCGAAGAGAAGCAAATGGTGTTTTGAACTGCGCCGTGACATGTACCCGTAACATTACGCCAGTGTGTACAAGTATAGACATCCGGCATGTGGTATGCATCACGGTAACGCAGAATGTGTCACGTATACTTACGCAAATGTGCGAAAATCCCGCTGAAGCATCCTTGATTGGAAAAGGCTGACAAGATAGCCATGGTCCGTACCCACCCAAAAAATGTTATCTGCCTCCGTGCATGTTTTGTACGGCTGTCGGCTGAAAGCCGTCTTCTCTCCGTTGGGCGCTTATTACGATGCAGGCTGATATGGCAAAGGCGCTGTCGTAAATGCCAGCGTAAATATATCAAATCGAAATGGACCGCGTTTATGTATGTCAGCCTAAAGGACAAACAATAATTACGTATAGCGTCGCCTGGCAAGCATCGCTGCTGCATTTCATAAGAGCTCGAAAATCCTTCGTGTGCCGGAGACGTCTTCAGCTGTGCATAAATGTGAGTGCTATATCAGCGAGGTGCCTTGTGTGGTGTGGGGCCGGCGGAGTGATAACAGATGGCAGTCGTCAGTCATGCGGATGCTGCCGAAAACTAGGCTAATTGAGCTAGGCGCGTCTGGTAACCCACAGCAACAGGTTTGATAGATGCGTTTAAAAGCACCCTTCATGATAAACAACCTGAGGTCTACTGACTCAGTATTCACACATTTATTCACAGGCAGCATTATTTGGGCTTTTGCTAACTGTAAGCCCACGTGGGCCGGCGAATCAATCAGCCTTAGCGATCAAGTTGCAGCGATTCGTTGTTCGGGGAATCGGACGAACACATCACATAGACACAAATGTTTTTGGAAATCATTAGTCACAACAAACAGGACAAAGCGAATGCGTAGTTTCATGGTTCAACGCCCCGGTTTAGGCAAAGGCGTCATATTTTCAAGACGGGATGTGAGGAAAGTGGCATTGCCTGTGGCTCGTTTTCTCCTTCGGTAACAAATTGAAGTCTCATGTCACTGCAACGCTGCTTCATGCCATGTCCCGCAGCTCTTCGCGACTCGAAAAAAGTCTTTATTTGTCGCATGGGGAAGGTGAAATCACAGTGATATTGCGACATCGCAGACAAAGGCGTTGATTCGTGCAAGCGACTGGCAGGGCCCAGCTGACGGCCCGACCTCTCTTCTAAGGTGTGTTACTCACCGGATGCGTATTTAAACGTCTAGTGCTTATAAC